GTAGTAGTAGTAGTAGTAGTAGTAGTAGTAGTAGGGCAATCCAGGGTTTGGTGGCCGGAGGGGCCCCTTCGAGGCCTCTCAGAGACCTTTCAGAGGCCCCTCAGAAGCTCCTCAAAGGCCTCTCAGAGGCCTCTCAGAGGTTTCTAAGAGGCCTCTCAGAGGCCTCTCAGACGCCTTTCACAAGCCCCCTCAGAGGCCTCTCAGAGGCGTCTCAGATGCTTTTTCAGAGGCCCCTCAGAGGGTTTTTCAGAGGCCTCTCAGAGGATCTTAAAGGCCTCTCTCCCCCCCTCTCTCCGTCTTCGTCGACTCGGCAGGAAGGGGATGGGGCAGGGGAGGAGGAGGGGCGCGTCCAGGAGCAGGGGGGAATGGTAAGGTTTTTTTTCCCGCCCTGGGTCCCGCCCCCCCGGAAGAATGTAGTAGTATGTGGTAGTAGGTGCTAGTGGGTAGTAGTCGGCAATATTAGGTACTGCAGATAGGTAATAGTTGCTAGTACTAGGTAGTAGCAGGTAGTAGTACATAGGAGTAGGTAGTAGTAGGTATGAATAAGTCGTAGTAGGTAGTTGTAGGTAGTAGGTAGTAGGTCGTAGGTCGTAGGCAGTAGATAGTAGGTAGGTAGGTAGGTCGGTCGGTCGGTCGGTCGGTCGGTCGTAGGTGGGTAGGTAGGTAGGTAGGGAGGGAGGGAGGGAGGGAGGGAGGGAGGGAGGTAGTAGTAATAGTAGTAGTAGTAGTAGTAGTAGTAGTCGTCGTCGTCGTCGTCGTCGTCGTCGTAGTAGTAGTAGTAGTAGGTTAGTAGTAGTAGTAGTAGTAGTAGTAGTAGTAGTACTAGTAGTAGTAGTTAGTAATAATATTATTTGTATTCGTATTCGTAGTAGTAGTAGTAGTAGTAGTAGTAGTAGTAGAAGTAGAAGTAGTAGTAGAAGTAGTAGTAGTAGTAGTAGTAGTAGTAGTAGTATAGTAGTAGTAGTAGTAGTAGTAGTAGTAGTAGTAGTAGTAGTAGTAGTAGTAGTAGTAGTAGTAGTAGTAGTTGTAGTAGTCGAAGTTGTAGTAGTAGTAGTAGTAGAAGTAGTAGTAGTAGTAGTAGTAGTAGTAGTAGTAGTAGTAGTAGTCGTAGTAGTAGTAGTAGTAGTAGTAGTAGTCGTAGTTAGTAGTCGTAGTAGTAGTAGTAGTAGTAGTAGTAGTAGTAGTAGTAGTAGTAGTAGTAGTAGTAGTAGTAGTAGTAGTAGTAGGTCGTTAATAGTAGTAGTAGTAGGCACTAGTGGGCAGTAGTGGACAGTAGTAGGTAGTGGCAGGTAGTGATCGATAGTAGACGGTAGTAGTAGTTGGTAGTAATATATTGGAGTAGGCCGTAATAGGCAATAGTAGGTAGTAGTCGGTCGTAGTAGGTAGCAGTCGGTAGGAATACGTAGTAGTATGTAGTAGTCGGTAGTAATGGGTGTTGATAGGTAGTAGCAGGTGGTAGCACGTTGTACTCGGTAGTGGTGAGTAGTAGTCGGTAGTAGTAAGAATTAGTAGGTAATTGGAGATAGTGGTAGGTGGTAGCTGGTAGTGGTAGGTAGCAGTAGATAGCAGTAGGTACTTGTAGGTAGTAGCAGGTCGTAGTAGGTAGTAGTAGGTAGTAGCAGGTAGCAGCAGGTATCAGTAAGGAGTAGTAGGTCGTGGTCGGTAGTAGTAGGTCGTAGTAGGTAGTGGTAGGTAGTAGTAGGTAGTTGTGGGTAGTAGTATGTAGTAGTATATGGTCACCATACCGCCATCATCTGATGATCATACCACCATCATATGAACAGCATACCACCACCATGTGATCATCATACCACAACAACATGATCATCCTACCACCACCATGTGATCGTCATGCTGCCACTCTATGATCTTCATAGCACCATCATATGAGCTGCACACCACCATCAAATGATCAACAAACCACCACCATCTGATCATCATGCCACCGCTATATGAACATCATGCCACCACCATATGATCTTCATACCACCATCATATGAGCATCATACCACCACCATGTGATCATCATACCACCTCCATATGATCATCAGACCAGCACCATGTGATCATCATGCCACCATTATATGACCACCAGATCACCTTCGTATGATCATCATGTCACCACCATGTGATCATCTTACCACCACTATATGGTCGTCATACCATCAGCATATGATCATCATACCACCACCATGTGATCATCATCCCACCACCATATGATCATCATGACGATCACCATGCCACCAACATCTGATCAGCATACCACCACCATTTGCACTTCATACCACCACCACCATATAATCGTCATACCACCACCATATGGTCGTCATACCACTAGCATGTGCTCATCATACCACCACCATATGATCATCATCCCACCACCGTATGATCATCATACCACCACCATCCACCAACATCTCATCATCATACCACCACCATATGCTCATCATACCACCACCATCTGATCGTCATACCACCACCATCTGATCGTCATACCACCATCAAATGACAATCATACCACCAAATGACAATCATACCATCACTACATGATCATAATACTACCACAACATGGGCATCATATCACCACGATATTTTCATCTTACCACCACCATATGATCATCATATCACTGTCATATGATCTTCATACCTCCACCATATGATCAGCATACCACCATATGATCATCATACCACCACCATATGCTCATCATACCACCACCATATGAGCAACATGCCACCACTATATGATCCTCATACCACCAACATCTGATTACCATACCACCACCATATGAGCATCATACCACCAACATCTGATCGTCTCACCACCTTTATATGATCATCATACCACCACCACATGATCATCATACCACCAACTTCTTGACGGACGGGCGGGCTGGCCACCGAACTCCGGCGACCGGCCCCCGGCCACGCACACCACACACATACACACACCACACGCACCACACACACTACACAAACCACACACACCACACACACCACACACACACACTACACACCACACACACCACACACACCACCGCACACCACAGCACACACCATCACCACCAGAACTCCATCACCACCCTCAAGGGTACGGACGGACGGACTGTCCGGCCACCAAACCCCGGATAGCCCTAGTAGTAATATTAGTGCTAGTAGTAGTAGTAGTAGTAGTAGTAGTAGTAGTAGTAGTAGTAGTAGGAGGAGTAGTAGTAGGAGTAGGAGTAGTAGTAGTAGTAGTAGTAGTAGTAGCAGCAGTAGTAGTAGTAGTAGTAGTAGTAGTAGTAGTAGTAAAAGCAAGAGTGTTAGCAGTCGTAGAAGTAGTTGTCATTGTCGATGTCGTAGCCGTAGTAACAGTCGTAGCCGTAGTTGTCGTCGTCTTCGTCGTCGTCGTAGTAGTAGTAGTGGTAGTAGTCGTAGTAGTAGTAGCAGTCGTAGTAGTATTATTAGTAGTAGTAGTAGTAGTAGTAGTAGTAGTAGTAGTAGTAGTAGTAGTAGTAGTAGTCGTAGCAGCAGTAGTAGTAGTAGTAGTAGTAGTAGTAGTAGTAGTAGTAGTAGGCAGTAGCAGTAGTAGCAGCAGTAGTAGCAGTAGTAGTAGCAGCAGTAGTAGTAGTAGTAGTAGTAGTAGTAGTAGTAGTATTAGGAGTAGTATTAGTTGTAGTAGCAGTAGTAGTAGTAGTAATAGTAGTCGTATAGTAGTAATCGTAGTCTTCGTAGTAGTAGTAGTAGTAGTAGTAGGTAGTAGTAGTAGTAGTAGTAGTCGTAGTGTAGTAGTAAGTAGTAGTAGGCGTAGTCGTTAGTAGTAGTAGTAGTAGTAGTAGTAGTAGTAGTAGTAGTAGTCGTAGTAGTAGTTAGAGGTAGTAGTAGTAGTAGTAGTAGTAGTAGTAGTAGTAGTAGTAGTAGTAGTAGTAGTAGTAGTAGTAGTAGTAGTAGTAGTAGTAGTAGTAGTAGTAGTTATTAGTAGTAGTAGTAGTAGTAGTAGTAGTAGGTAGTAGTAGTAGTAGTAGTAGTAGTAGTAGTAGTAGTAGTAGTAGTAGTAGTAGTAGTAGTAGTAGTAGTAGTAGTAGTAGTAGTAGTAGTAGTAGTAGTAGTAGTAGTAGTAGTAGTAGTAGTAGTAGTAGTAGTAGTAGTAGTAGTAGTAGTAGTAGTAGTAGTAGTAGTAGTAGTAGTAGTAGTAGTAGTAGTAGTAGTAGTAGTAGTAGTAGTAGTAGTAATAGTAGTAGTGGGAGGAGGAGGAGAAGGAGGAGGAGGAGGATTTCATTTGCCCCACAAACAAACCAGGCCAGCCACGCTATAGTATGGCCCAGGATCTGGGCTGTCAAGTCCATGTTGGGAGCTGTGCTTGGTTTTCTGCCGCATGGGTCTCATTTAGCGGACGCCTCCCCCGAATTCGGTGGATTGTTGCCGACTGTGTTTTGGATACCTCAGCAGCTTCAAATCGGTGGGGTCTCCTCGTAAGAGCGCTCGGTGCAGCCAGCTCACGGCTACTAGCATAATAGAGCGTGGGCTGGGACCTCGTAAGAGAGGCGGGTAAAAGGGGCGTTGTGGCCCTGCCTCTGTTCCAGTGTCGGCGAAGCCTCAGGCAGGCCAGATTTGCTTACGGCGTGGTGGTTCTCCCGACGGCCCGCTCCTGCTCCCTGGCTGGTGCCTTCCCGCCTCGCCCCTTTGCGCCCCCCCCTCGGGTTATCTCTAAGTGTTGCGGTGTATTCGGTAGCAGGGCGCGCTCTCATGGGATCAATTTCGCTCCTCCTTCTGCCCCTTCCTCTTCCTTCTTCCTCCTCCTCCTCTCCTCCTCGTCCTCCTCCTTCTCCTTCTCCTTCGCCTCCTCCCCCTCATCCTCCCTCGTCTCTTCCTTTTCTTTGTCACTGTTCCCTTCTCCTGTCTCGCTTACCCTTTCCTTACTCCCTTCCTCTCTCCTCCTCCTCCTCTCTCCTCCTCATCCTCCTCCTCCTGCCGTTCCTGCTTTTCCTTCCACTCCCTCCTCCTGGTGGGTGGGGCGCGAGGACCGCACCTTCTCCGTGCAGCAGCTCCTCTCCTGCACGCCCAACCCGCACCACTGCGGCGGCGCAGGGGGGGGGGTCAGAGGTGGGATGGATGGAGGGCGGGAAGAAGGGCTCGCCTCTTCCCGCTCCTCCTTATCCCCTGTGCTTAAGTCTGGGGCAATCGCGTAGTCGTATTGCGCCAGCGGCCTTGACCAGCACGCCCCTGTGCCGTCAGACGGGCTATCTCCTAGTCGTTCAAAGTCTCGGCTTCGCCAACTGTGCACTGTTGTGTGAACGAGAAAGCGCAGAGCGCACTTTTCTGAGCCAAACGCTGGGTGAGACAAACGCGCTGCACAATGGGCAAACATGCTGAGGGCAAACTGGACACTGTGTAAAGTGTCCCTGCAGCCGTTGTAGCTTACTGACTTTTGCATGATGCTTCCTGAGGACCTGCGTGCGGAGCCAACGCACCTCAGCAAACTCAAAATGACTCCGACGGAAAGACCCCACATGAGCATCTGTTTGGCTTGCCCTTAGCCCTTCCCTCCTCGCCCTGGCGGACACCCTCCTCTCGCCCTCTGCTCTGCCCTCTCCTCCTCCTCCTCCTCCTCCTCCTCCTCCTCTTTCTATTTCTCCTCCTTTTATTTCTTCTCCTCTTCCTCCTTCTCCACCCCCTCCTCATCATCACCCTCTCCCTACCCCTCCCCCGTCCTCATCCTTCCCCTGCTTCTTTTCAATGTGCTCTCCAATTTCCCCCTGGTCGGGGCAAGCAAATCGATTTTCCTCGGCGCCGTCGCCGCCTCGGCCAGCGCGCGCGCGTTCGCCGACGGCCGGTTCGCGAAGCCTTTGGGACAGCCCCGCGGGCCGCTAGGGCGCGGGGGCAGGCCGTCGGGAGAACCCCGCGGGCCAGACCGTTGGGACAACCCCGCGGGCCTCTAGCTGCGCGCCGCGGCGCTCAGGCGGGAGGCAGCACGAAGACAAGCTCCGCGGCGAGCTGCTCGGCCTTATCCCCGGAGGTCTTCGCTTGCTCGCTGGATTTCCGGAGCGCCTTCCGCAGGGGCGCGGGCGGCCCGCACCTTCAGACGTCTCGCGGCGGCGGCCGCAGGATCAGCATGTTCCGCATGCGCGTGGCGCAGGAGAACATGACGTAGAGGTGCAAGGTGCAGCCACCACTGCTCGGGTGACATGCCCGTGCGTCCGGCGTCCTCATCTCTGGTGCAGTCAATGGTGACGGCCTTGCGCAGCGTCTGGCCCTGCGACAGCGCCATCGTGGAGGTCAGGTCGGACGCGTGCGTCAGGGACCCCGAGCGGCGCACGACGTGCGCCCCCGAGCTCTGCCACGTGAGCTCCTGTTCGCTGGGCCTGAACATCAGCAAACTCTTCGCCCGCACCCCAGCCCCGCCGCCGCCGTCAGCGCCTTCGGCGCCGTGCAGCAGCAGTTCGGCGACCTCCTCGTAGTTCGGGGATTCTTGGAAGCCGTGGACCTGCAGCCAGATTCAATGCGGTAGGTAGCGGGGGCGAAGAAGCTGGCCCGGCGCGCACTCCTCGTACTCCCGCTCGTCGTCTGGGTGAAATTCGAATGACACGATGGTGGCCCGTTGCTCTTGCACGAGCCCCAACTTCTTGTTCAGCTCCCCGACGTGTGCCGGTAAGACGCCGTGGATGTCCCCCGTCGTGTGCATGTTCGGGACGTTCAGGAGGCGTTGGCCCGCGTCCGTTTCGCTTTGAATCGTGCTGCACTCGCCGCGGCCTTTAGGAAAACGAGGGGCACGCCCAGACGCCGCGCGTCGCGACGAGCGCGCGCGACTCACAGACGAGGCCCCAGCTCGAGATTTCTTGCATCTTCAGGCCCGAGGAGCTTACAAATGACGACGATGACAGAATTCGCATGACCGCGCTCGGATTACCAACGCGAAGCGCGTGCCTCATAGGAAAAGGGCTCCCGCCGGAGACTTCCTCGCAATTCACTCGCAAATGAGGCTCGCGCCTGAGACTTCCTCCAAATTCAGGCCCGAGGAGCCCAAAAATGACGACAGATGCAGGGTTGAGGATGACCCGCTCGGATTACCAATATGAAATGCGGGACCCACAGGGAAGGGGCTCCCGCTTAAGACCTCTTCACAATTCACTCACAAAACAGGCTGCCGCCTGATATTTCCTCCATATCGAGGCTTCAGGAACTCCAAAATGACGATAGTTACAGGGTTGAGGATGACCCGCTCGGATTGCCAACGCGAAGTGCGGGACCCGTAGGGAGCGGGTTCCCGCCTGATAGTTCCTCACAATTCAGTCACAGACGAGGCTGCCGCGTGGTGCTTCCTTCCTACATATGTAGGCCTCATGAGCCCAAAGGTGACGGCAGGAACAGGGTTGAGGATGTTTCGCTCGGATTGCCAACGTGAAGTGCGGGACCCATAGGGACCAGGCTCCCGCCTGAGAGTTCCTCACAATTCACTCACAGACGAGAATCCCGCTTGATACTTCCTCCATATTCAGGCTTCAGGAGCCCAGAAGTGACCACAATTACAGGGTTGAGGATGACCCGTTCGGATTGCCAACGCGAAGTGCGGGACCCATAGGGAGCGGGCTCCCGCCTGAGAGTTCCTCACGATTCAGTCACAGACGAGGCTGCCGCCAGATACTTCCTCCATATTCAAGCTAGGGAGTGGGTAGTGACGAAGTGAGTGATGATGATGGTGAGTGAATGGCTGAAAATGATGATGGTGATGATAATGATGATGCTGCTGCTGACGATGATGATGATGATGATGATGATGATGATGATGATGATGATGATGATGATGATGATGATGATGAGTGGGTGAGTGAGCGAGTGATTGTAATGGTGATCATGATGGTTGGTGTGAGGGGGAGAGTAAATGAGTGTGGGTGTGAGTGAGTGTGTGAGCGATGACGATGAAGTGAGTGAGTGAGGCGGAGAGGGGGAGTGAGTGTGTGAGCGTGTGAGTGTGAGTGTGTGAGAGTGTGATGATGATGAACATGATGATTGATGATGATGATGATGATGATGATGATGATGATGATGATGATGATGATGATGATGATGATGATGATGATGATGATGATGATGATGATGATGATGATGATGAATGAGGAGGAGGAGGAGGATGAGGATGAGAAGGAGGAGGAAGAGAGGGGGAGGAGAGATCCTGCGCGGGGGGGATGCAGAGAAAACAAGAACCTCACTTTGGATGTGGGGAACAACACAGTGGGCAATCTAGGGGATGGGGCACTCCACCATCGGCGAGCATTTGGAACAAACCATGCCTTGCAACCTGCGCCAGAGTCTCGCGCTGCAGCTGTTTGACCTGAGCTGACAGTGCTTGCCGAACCGAGCGCTTCAGCTGCCAGCTGGCCCAGGCGTGTGGGGCCAGTTCTGCGTCCAGAAACGTCTGAAACCGAGCCGTATCCAGCACAAGGCGTTAGCCATAAGATGTCTTCCCTCAGCAGTTGTCTCCAAGACTTGGGACATTCTTGGCACAGTTGTGCGGGGGGGCGGAGACGAGGGGGCAGCGAAACAGGCGAACCCGACGAACATGTACGTAGCATGCCGCAGTTCCGGACAAGAGTGAGGGGGTGGGTCGCGGGTGGGTCGCGTGGTGGGTGGCGGGGTGCCCGGCGGGGTGGGTTGCGAGGTGGGTGACGGGGGGGTCGCGGGGGGAGGGTACGACGACACCATCAATCAAGCATCAGATAAGCAGACTTTGGGCCACCCACGAAATTCCACTTCACCCACTCACCCAGGGATAGTGTAAGACCGCTCGGCCCCCTTACCCTGACAAGAGCTAGCGCAGGTGTGCAAACACAGTCTGCCTTAGCCGCGCCTTGCCGCCGATTCGCCGTCCTGCTCGGTCCAGCCGCAGCACTTTTCGCCACCTCGGCCAGCTCCATCGGGTCGGCCGCCTCACGTTCTATCCCAGGGCCCCACAGACCGGGACCTTGCGAACCAGGAAGTTCCATCTGGAGAGAAAGAAGAGTGGAGAATGTTTCCACCACCTGCTGCCGTTCTCTCGGGCGCTCCGATGCCCTTCTCCTCCTCCTTCTCCTCCTCCTCCTCCTCCTCCTGCTTTCAACAAAGCCCCCGTTGAGGGGGCCTTGACTGCCACCTCCTCCGCCCCACCCCTGGGCACCTCCCCAGACCTCCGACGTCGTGTATGTTTCGCAACGCGATTCCAAAGAGGTCTGGACCACTTCACTTCTCCAGGACGCGCCGTAGCCCCTTCTCCGCCGTAGCCTCTCCTCCTCCTCCTCCTCCTCTTCCTCCTCCTCCTCTTCTTAGCACTCCCACCTCAGGTGGTGCTGGATGTTAGTACTGGCCGCTTGGGGCCGCAAGGAACTGTAACGCAACGCCGCTCGCCGCTTTCGCTTGCTGGGCACTCTCCCGTTCCTCCGCCTCTCCTCCGCCTCTTGACCCTGTTCGCGCACAGGAGAGGGTCCTGTGCACAGCTTCCTTTGCGATAGGGTCGGCGCTGACGAAGCGAGCGAGCTTCGAGGCGTTTTCGCTGCAGAAGAGCATCCCGTGGCGCTGGCCCGGGCGGGCCCGCTGCCTTGCCCCGCTCCTGCCCCGGCCGCCAGCTGGCCTCCTCAATCCTCCTCGGGATCCTCATCCTCTTCCTCCTCGATCCTCCTCCTCCTCCTCCTCCTCGATCCTCCTCCTGCTCCTCCTCCTCCTCCTCCTCCTCGATACTCCGCCGTCCTCCTCCGCGATCTCCTCCTCCTCCTCCTTCTCATCCCGAGCTGTTTCTGATGGTTCGGGGCCCCCCGCGGAGGCCGAACACAGCCAATGTCTCGCCGTAGCTTCTCTACTTCCCGAGAATCTTGTTGCGTTGTGCCATCGTTTCGAAGACGCAACGCCCCGCGTTCCTTTCCTCCCGCCTCCCCCTCCCTCCTCCTCCTCCTCCTCCTTCTCCTCCGCTTTCTCCTCCTCCTCCTCCTCCTCCTCCTCCTCGGTTGTCACCGTCGCCGCCGCTACTCGCTCCGCCTCCGTCACACTACGCGGCGACTGGGAGGATTTCTTTGCTCGTCTGCGCGACACTGCTTGCGATGAAAGCGCTGGCCACAGCTTCCATCGCTGGAGCAGCGGACACTGGCCGCCGCCGTCCTGGGCTCAGCCCTTCTCTATTGTGCAGTACTATTCCGGCCTCTGCTCTGGCCAGCGCTGCGGCACCTTCCCTGCCCACGTGCTCCGTGCGTGATGCTCACGATGCGGGCCGCGCCGAGGTCACGGCAGCAGCGGCCGCTGACCCGCGACGCCGTGCCCGCGTGCAGCGCGCGATCGCCAGCACGCTCGGCAAGGCCTGCTTTACGTCGCCCTTTCCCGCCACGCTCGCGAAGCGCCTCGAGTCCTGGGGCCTGCAGTTGCCGCTTCCCGAGGAGCTCTCCGCACGGTGGGGATCGTTGTCCAGGACCCTCCAGGGATTCCGCCCGAGCTGGCGAAGGGCCGTCTCCAAGACCCCCAGCGGAGGGTGGACCGGTACCGCCAGAATGCACGTGCTGGTGCCGAAGACGCGCGTCTTCGGCTGCCCCCAGGACGCTGACGCGTTTCCCCACTACCTCTCCCGTCCCCGCTTCCTGAGCCTCCCTGGTCCCCGACCCGCCTCTCCTCCGCTCGACAATCGCGGCCTGGGGCCTGGGCTCCGAGGCAGCCTACGCCGCTGACCGCGACAGCGCTATGTCGATGCATCGCACGTGTCAGCGTATCGCGCTGGCATTCCACACGTTGAGACAATATGAAGATACATTCGGCGCCGACGCGCAATTGCTTAGCCTCGGCGAGTGAAGCTGCCCGCGCTTTTGTTTGGCGCTGGTGAAGACTTGCGTCCCCCAGGGTGCCCGAACTCCTCCTCCTCCTCCTCCTCCTCCTCCTCCTCCTCTTCCTCTTCCTCCTCCTCCTCCTCCTCCTCCTCCTCACCCTCCTGTCCTCTGCCCTCCGCATGTCAATTTCGGCGCACCCCTCACACGCTTCGTGACACCATAGAGAGCTCCACCGAAGGCCCCAGTGGCCATGTTCGCATGCGGCCGCCCTACCCATGTCGGCACACGTCTCACACGCTTTATGGCCCCATAGGGAGCTCCACCGAAGGCCCAGTCGCGGTGTTTGCATGCGGCCGCCCCACCCATTTCGGCATTTTCTTTACTTGCTTCAAAGCCCCATCGGGAGCTCCACCTAAAGCTGCAGTGGCGACGTTCGCATGCGGCCGCCCCACCCATGTCGGCACACCCCTCACACGCTTCATGGCCCCATAGGGAGCTCCACCGAAGGCCCAGTCGCGGCGTTCGTATGCCACCGCCACACCCACTTCGGCATACTCCTGACACGCTTCGTGACACCATAGAGAGCTCCACCGAAGGCCCCAGTGGCGATGTTTGCATGCGGCCGCCCTGCCCATGTCGGCACACCCCTTACACGCTTCGTGACGCAATAGGGCGATCCACCGAAGGCCGCAGTGCCAGGGCGCGCATGCCACGCTTCGTGGTCCCAAAGGGAGCGCCGCCAAAAGCCCCAGTGACAGCGCCCGCATGGTGGCCCCACCCCATGTCGGCACACCCCTCTCACGCTTTGTGGCATCAGATTGGAGCTCAATCCGAAGCCCCAGTGGCAGCGCGTGCCTGGCCTCCCCGGCCCGATTTCGGCACGCCCTTCGCATGCTCCGTGGCCCCATGAGGAGCTCCACCGAGGGCGATACTCGCAACGATGGCACTCGCAGCTGCACACGGTCGGGCCCCTCGCCGAGCCAATCTTCCAAGCGCGAGGGAGGGGGCCGCGCCCTCGACCGCTCGATCGAGCGGGCCTTCGGTGCGCTCCCGCTGCCTGCCTCGAGGCGCCCCCCGTGCGAGCGGAGAGGGGGCCCGCCCGCCGCCCCGGGGCTGCTGCGGCGAGGCGGCGACGGCGGCTGCCAGGGCGCCACGGCGGAGCTCGCCATGCAGTACGCGAGCAAGGCTGGGCTCCCCCATCGGCCTCAGAGAAGGAAAAAGGTACCGAGGAGGAGGAGGAGGAGGAGGAGGAGGAGGAGGAGGAGGAGGAGGAGGAGGCGGAGGAGGAGGAGGAGGAGGAGGAGGAGGAGGAGGAGCCACATTTGCAGCAGTTTTCGAAGCTCTGGGCCTCCCGGAAGGGCGCTCGTCGTCATGGCCTGATTCGCTCCGAAGTTCTGGGCAGAGCGCACCCCGGGAGAGGTCTGCGGAGCAGCGATCTCCGTAGTGTTTGGTTTGCCCACGTTTGAACCAACGTGTCGAAGCGCTGGGCTTGAGATGCGGCACGACTGTCATGCTATGAGACGTGTCGTCATGGATCGTGTGTCAGTTTGGAAGTACGGCGCAAACCACTTTTCAGGCACATGCAAGATCAATTAAAGGAGGAGGGTGCGCGTCCTCATGAGAGCTGTGTCCCCTCATGAGAGATGTGTCCCACCTGACTCGAACACGGGGATATGAACACCCGAGCGCGAGCAGTTGCATCGTTGATGAAGTCGGTTCCCTGGCGAGGAACACGGTGGCTGGCCCCGCATCTGATAGCGCAATCTTCTGGACTGTCCTTCGTAAGAGGTGGCAGAGTTGTCCCACTGGGAGATTGATGAGTAGGTCTTTTTTGTTGGGGGCGAGGGCGCATGTTACACATGTTCTGTGAAAACTATATGATGGCCTTCGGCCCATCCCGCCAACGTGCCTAGGTTGTGGACCATAGGCTTCTCGGATGTTCGTTGGGATGTCGCGGGAGGCCTCTCGGGGGCTTCTTGGGGGCCTTTTTGAGGCCTCTTGTGGGACGTTGTGGTTCCTTTTGGAGTCTCTTGGGGGCCTCTTGTGGGCCTCTTGGGGCCTCCTGGGCAGCAGAGCTCGAGTTTTCGGTTCGTGGTCCCCCTCTTGGACCCCTCTTGAAACCGTCTTGGGGCCCTCTTGGGCCGTCTCGGGCTCTTATTGGGCCGTCTTCGGGCCCTCTTGGGCTGTCTTGGTGCCGTCTTGGCGGCCTCTTGGGTCGTCTTGGGGCGATCTTGGGGGCCTCTTGGGCTGTCTTGGAGCGTCGGAAAGCCAAAAAGGAGAAGACCAACAAACCTTCATGAACCTGGCGCGACCCCAATTTGGGGAAAGCCTATTGCATGGGCGTATCGCATCGCTGGGCGCATCGCTTAGCATTGGTTGGCATGGGTTGGCATTGCTTGGCATTGCTCGGTATTGCTGGGCATTGATTGGCATTGCTTGTCATTGCTTGGCATTGATTGGCATTGCCGAGGAGCCTGGGGAACTCGAGGAACCTGGGGAACCCGAGGAATCCGGAACACGAGGAACCCAGGAACCCGAGGAACCCGAGGAACCCGAGGAACCCGAGGAACCCGAGCAACCCGAGGAACCCGAGGAATCCAAGGAACCTCCGGGCAACGGGCAAGCTAACATTCTGCAGGGAACCTGGGGAACCCGAGGAACTCGAGGAATCCGAGGAAACTCCGATGAACGGGCAAGGTAACAATACGAGACGCCAGGGGCGAGGAACCCAGGGAACCTGAGGAACCCGGGAAAGCTCCGAGGAACGGGCAATGTAAGAATCGGAGGCGCCGAGGGCGAGGAACCCGGGGAACCCGGGGAACCTCCGAGGAACGGGCAAAGTAGCTTCCCGAGGAACCAATTTTAAACCAAGTAAGAACCCTTCAGGCAAGCCTAATTGTGGGAAGACCCATTGGAAATCACGCACTGCGGCCTTTTGGGACCTTCTCGGGAGGCCGCTTGGAGGCCTCTTGGGGCGTCTTTGATGCCTCTTGGACCGTCTCGGGGCCAACTTGGGCGTCTAGGAGCGACCTTTCGGCGTCTCGAGGCCCTCTTGGACCATGTCTGGGGTCTCTTGCGGCCCTCTCGGTCCGTCTTCGGGCGCTCCTGGGCCTCAAGAGGGCACGCGGGGAGATGCGGGGAGATGCGGTGGAGCCCAGGGGGGCACGCGCCACACCCCGAGAGGTTCGGCAATTTGGGGTCCGGGCCGCGGGCAAAGGGCCTGCGGGGCACGCCCACTCCGCGCCCAGCGGCATGGTGACGGACTGCGCTCCCGAATGGAATTCGCCGCCAGAGCAGCTTGGTTGCAGTCGGGGCCCTGAAGAAGGAGCTCTTTTCGTCGGGGAGGGGCTCGGTGTTCCTTGATTGTTTTCCAGTTTGCTTTGGGTTTTCCTGAGGTTTTCCATCGGGAAATCGAAGTTCAACTTATGGGAGAAAGGGGCCTCGTTCCTTATTTGGGGTTCCTTAGGTCAGCGCCCCGACTGTATACAGAATCAGATGGTCCCGGCATTAGCGCGAGATTTCGAGGACACCTATCGCCCCCTGTGCCTGGGCCTGTGTGCTCCAGGCCGGAAGTTCGCCTGCATCGCGGCTGCGCGGAGAAGAGGCACCCGAGCACCCGTGCACCCGCTGGCCGCATCCTGTGGGCTCCATGGAAGGCTCCGTGGAGCGCGAGGATCTCGATGGGGGGTGATTCATCCTCCTCGTCGTGCTCCCTCCTACTCCCCCTCTTCATCCCTTCCCTCCTCCCCTTCATCCCCCTTCTTTTCCTACTCCCTCTCTTCAAGGCTTGGCCTCTTCCCTCCCTTTCTCTAGTTTCTCCTTCTCGTCCTCCTCCTCATCCTCCTCCTCCTCAACCAGGCTTAGCTCCCCCGATACTGGTTTCTCCGCCGTGGGCCCACAGCACCGTGCTTGTCCAAGAGCAACTCCTGCGCCTGCGCCCGCTCTCTCAGATGAGCTTGTTCAACGAGGAGTCCCTGGAGTACCAAGGGAAGGACCGTGCGCGCTCTCGTCGTTGCTCCTGCACGCCGGGCTCGCCTGCTTGCCCCGCCCCCCCCCTCCTCCCCCCCTTCCCCTCCCCCACTCTGACCCACCCCCAATCCGCCTCGTCCTCCTCATCGTCGTCCTCTTCCGTTTCCTCCTCCTCCTCCTCCTCCTGCTCCTCCTCCTCACCGTCAGCATCGTCACCATAAGCTCAAACACTTGTGGCTCTGACGGGGAGGCTGGAGTGGAGCAGTCCCACCCCCTTTCCTTGGGCCGCCTCTGTACCGTCTGGTGGTGCTTGAGGTTTAGTGTCGCCCGCGTGGAGACGACAATTTCGGAGGCAATCTTCCTCCGCTCAGCAGTTCCGCCATGGCGCCCGCTCGCAATGGCGGCTGGTCTTGCCCTCCTGGGCAGCGCGCTGGCAATGATGGAGGCGGGCACTCTGGCGTGTCCTGGAAGTGTGGGCGCTGCGGCTGCGGCAAGAATATCGGGAGGTTTTGCTTCTGCAAGCAATGCGGCGGGAAGCGCAAGGAAATTGAAGGAATCCAGCACCTCCAGCTCGGGGGCGCCGTGGTCGACGTTTGGGACTACCAGAGCTGGAGCGACGGCAGTGGAGGCGTCCTGGTTGTCGGATTTCAAGGCGCGGGGGCTTCCACTTTGAGTGGCGACCAGGCCTTGCTTGACGACCAGGAACTTCGGCAGTTCATTTCTCTCAACCAGAAGATGGGCAACACCATAGCTGCTGCTGCACCCCCCAAGGAAGATTCGACGAGGCGCGCAGCTGTGGAACCAGTCCCTCCCCAATCGCAGGCTACGAACGTGGACAAGCGAATCAAACAGTTGAAGAAGGAAGAAATTCAAAAGCGAGGTGGATCGCATGCTCGCTGGCAGGCTCGGCTGTTCGACAAGCAGGGCTCCATTTTCCAAATTCCCGTGGCACTGGCTGGGGAAAGTTGGCCACTACAAGACCTGGGTCGACGAACTGCGTCTTCAGGTATGCCAGCTTGAGCGTGCTGCCCTAGTCACCCAGAAGATCAAGCAGGTCACCTTCCAAATCCTGCTGGATGGCAACATTGACTTCCTGGACCTGTCCGGCGTGTAGTCGGTATTGGGCATCGACGCGTTTGCGTGCGAAGTCCATGGCACAGATGCGGCCGAGGGCATCGACGCGTCTGCGTAAGAAGAGGGCCAAGCAGCCCCGCGACGGCATCACGTCCGCCGCGAAAGTTTTCTTCGGGCAGGGCAGGCTAGCAAACGCTACGACGAGCTCAACAAGGCGCGCGCAAGTCACACCGAGAGGTTCGACAAGAAACGCAAGAACAACGAGGGCGTTGCCACGGCGGCAGGCGGCGCTTGTGCGGCATAGGTTCCGCTTCATGAGCGGGCGCGCCCCCGGCAGCTGAAGGAGACGACGGAGGTGTAGACGGTCCATCATTTGCATCTGCTTCTTCGGCTGCGGCTTCGGCAGCAGACCTCCTCGCCAGTGCGCGCGAGCTTCCCGGCCTATACCTGAGCAAATGGACCCCCCTGCCAGCGAAGTCGCGTTTGCAGGGGCAGGGCTATGTCGCGGCGTCCGGAGGGCCGCGGCAATCGACGCGAGGTGACGTCCTCGGGGTCCAAGTCTGGCGCCCGACGTGGGCTCGAGAATATCGCGGTCAGAGTCGCCGTCAGCCGGGGCTTGCTATGGCAACGGCAGCGGCTTCAGGTTTCTTTGTTGAGGGCGGGCAAGTGGCGACCGCGGCAAGGCGCGCGAGGCGCCCGCGGCTCACATGAGTGCCTCTAGTTCTTGAGGCTGCCACCCGAAGGTAGTATTCCCTCCGACCCCGCCAAGTTTTTGCGCGCCCTGGCGCGCGTTTCAGCTGGCGATCGAACTGGCGAATTAATTGTGCAACGTGGTCTTCCATCAGGTCTTGGCTTGTAAACTCGACCACTCACGCCGTTCTCGCGCAGGCGAATTTCTGGCCGACGAAGTCGCCAGAGCAGGACAATGGGCACTAATGAGGGGTTGGAAAGCTCGCTTCGAGTCTGCCTTCAGGACCGCTGGCGCAGGGGCGCCAGGAGGGGCGGCGCTCGTGGTTCGGCAATCCTTGGGATTTCACGACTCCGAGTTCGGGGCGGTTGTGATCCAGTCTAGGGCTATTGGTGGCATCGCCGCGGCCCCAGGGTCTCCGCCGACTCTAGCCACCTCGGCGCACGCGTTCGCC